GCTTTTACAGCTTTGAGAAGTGTGCTGTTAGAATTTTCACGTGGTCCGACGAATTTTCCTCTAGGAGGAGCAAAAGTTGTTTGTGCTCATTGGAGACGACGTACCCTTCCGTTCCTGTGAGCATGAACTCGCGCATCGCTTGTCTGCTCTCTGAAAATCTCTTGAATTTTTCGAAAAGTTTGTCGCTGAGCAGATGCCTGTGCGTACTGTGGAAATTCTCCATCAGGTGATCAAGCGCGTATGGTGACCTGTTGGTTGGATCGGTCATTATATAGTTGATATACCGTACTGGGCGAATATTTTCTGATTGCAGTTGCGCGATTTTTGAACCGATCACGTCGAGTGCGCTATTTTCTGCGGCAACGAGAATTACCTCGCCCTTACTCACAGGTTCTGAGGCCATGACCGCTGTGCACAAGGACTTACCTGCACCATAAGCACTGTCCACAATCATGATGGGGAAATCCTTATTGAAAGTATTGACAGCGCTGACCTGGTGCGGATTCAGCCGCACGGGTGATCCTACGACGTTGACAACAATTTCCTCGCTCTGGTCGAATCCCTCAAGTTCGATGTCTCCTGCAATTAGTGCGCGCGCTGACTTCCAATGTGCCGAGGTGACTGAATTATAGAAGGCAAGAGGCACTTTTTTCCTACCGTAGCCAAATTTAGGCGCACAGTTAATGCTGACTGCAGAAACACTCAACTTCCGTCAATAATTATCCGCTGCGGTACCTGGCGATTCATTTTTTCATCATTTACTAATGAGAGAAGCCGGGGTGAAACAAATTCGACAACACTGAGGCTTCGCTCTCTCCCACATTGTGCATATCGAACGCAAACTCATAGCGTCGCGAATACATGAGAATATAGCGGAGAACACAGAAATAATAGAGAATACATTATGAAGAATACAGAGAGGATAGTAGTAGAGAGTACAGACGAACAAACTATAATAGAGACGAGTAGTAGTGGACAAGGTCCAAAGGCTGTTCTATTACGTCGCGGGCGCTCCATAGATGATAGTTGCCCGCGCGCCACTTACGCGCCAGAGTTCCGAGCAAAAAAAAACTCCTTTGAGAATCCGTTTTGATGTTTTAATTCAAGCTTATCGGAAGTTACTGTGTGCTGCTTTCTGCTTGATTTTTCCTCTTTCAGCTGACTAGACATGTCCGATTCGTCATCAGAAGCTAGTGATTCTCCTGCTCCTGAAAAGAAGCTCAAAAAGCAACCAGAAGAGAAAAAAGCTGCGAAGAAAGACGACAAGACCCAAAAGAAGGAGGAAGCAAGCAATGACAAGAGTGATAAGAAAGAGAAGGATAAAAAGAAGGAGAAAGAAAAGAAGGTAATTTCCCGATTTTTTCAATATCATTCCGTTTCACGTTTCCCTTACTATTTAGCAGGAGAAGCGTAGAGTTCAAAGTGATTCGTCGTCGGATGAAGGAGTGATTGATAAAACGCCAATCAAAAAATCGAAAGGTGGTGGTAATCGTGTGAAAAATGCCGATGGCGAAGAGGTTCAGGCTCTTTTCTATTTACGGGCATGGTATCATAAAATCTGATTCTTTAGATGATCGAGATAGGCAGTATGCGTTACGTCAATGTGAGAAATTTCCGCGGAAAATCTCTCATAGATGTGCGCGAATATTACATGGATAAGGTCGGTTTTTGCATATATTATATCCCTGTTTTTGCTGTTTTATTTGCTTTGAATGT